CCCGGAAAAACAAGGCAACCCGGGCGGCCCGGCTGGTAGCCTAGTCCAGAACCCCTAGTAATGCCACCAACACCCCCATAGCGGCCCCCAATACCCCCATACACCCCCCCGGGCACCCCGGAAAAACAAGGCAACCCGGGCGGCCCGGCTGGTAGCCTAGTCCAGAACCCCTAATAATGCCACCAACACCCCCATAGCGGCCCCCAATACCCCCATACACCCCCCCAACACCTCCAAACCGCCCCCAACACCCTCAGTTCGCAGCGCTAAGGCTGCGGTATAGAGGGCGTCGGCGTCTGTGTCAAGGTGTTGCATTTTTGGCGGCGGGTGATCAGGACACAAAGTGGGTTCTTAGGGGGCAAAAAAATTTGGGGGACTGGTCCTTGCCAAAATTGCGCACTACCTACAGCTAGCTCTGGTAGAACTGGGACTTTTGGAAAAAGGAAGGACCGGTCCTCGGGTGGAAGTGGACCCCAAAAAGAAGTGGGGGGCGTTGGACCAGTCCTCGGGTGGAAGCAGACCCCAGAAAGGAAGTGAGGGCATGCGAACTGCAAAAGGGCCCTCAGGCCCAGGCGTTGAGGCCTGTCTTCTCAAGACAGGGAGGTCAGGCGCAACGAAACAGGCGTTCTGCAAGAGGCAACTTTGGCGATTTTCTGTGCTCAGATGAACCCGCAGAAAAATCTGAGATTTTGAGAATCCATAGATGAGGTCGTGTTCTTCCCAGGAAAAATAATAGAACATTTTCAAAAAATCATTTAGACTGCGAAATAGTCATCGTGCCGAGTCAGCACATTTTCCATTTTTGCCACTCAGCCATGTATGGGCCAACTGAAAAAGTACTCCAAATTCAGTGAGTTTTCGCAATCAGAGGAATGCATGAAAAAACCTGAAAATTGGAGTACTCGTACTAATCGTAGATTTTGTTGCGATCTTTCCAAAATAAATCGCGGCCGCAATTTGACTCATATTTCAATTTTGCCATTCAGCCTCTCTCTCTCTCTCTCTCTTTCTCTCTATCTCTCTCTGTGTGGTAGGCCCCCCCCCTCTCCCTCTTTCTCTCTCTCTTTTTTTCTCTCTCTCACTCTCACTCATATCAACAAATGGAACAAAACTCTCTCTCTCTCTCTCTCTCTCTCTCTTGTGCTCTCTCTCTCTCTCTCTCTCTCTCTCTCTCTCTCTCTCTCTCTCTCTCTCTCTTGTGCTCGCTCTTAGTCTCATTGCTTTGGCTACCTTAGGTGTGGCATACTGCGTAGCCACACGGGCCCTGCAGGGCCCGTCCCGGACATCCAGCCTAAAAGCCTAAAACTTAGGGCTTACAGGCCCCGGTCGTTTCAGCCTGAAAGCTGAAAAACGAGGGCCTGCAGGCCCTACTTCGTTTCAGCCTATTTCTGGGTCTTTCAGACCCAGAGTTTTTCCAGCCTGAAACGGAGGGCCCTTTTCAGGCCCTCATTGTTTCAACCGCCCCTAAGACTCAGGCACGGAAACAGGGTTTCAGGAACAGGCCAGAAATAGCCTGTTCCCACGACCTTGAGCAGGAGCTGCAGCGGCAGCCCCTGCCTCCGATTGGCATTGGCAAGAGCAGCCTCCTGGACTGCTCGCCAGCAGTCAGGAGGCACCTGTGGTAGTACATAGGACTGTACTAGGCACTTCCACGGCTGCCCGCCTACAGGCTGAAGCTGCAGCAACAGCTGAAAAGCAGCGGCTTCAGGCCGAAGCAGACGCAGCCGCCCAGGCTCGCCGAAAGGAAGCCCAGGATTTGCTGCAGCGGCATGAAGCAGCCAGCGTGGACAGACTCAAATTCTGGCACTTCGAACCCAACGGCGACGACGCGACACCGGAAGAGCAGCATAAGGAGTTTCTCTCCAAACTCGTGACACGACTGTTGTACACTTGCAACTACCAACAGTCCGAGTTGGAGAAACAGTGCCAGGACCTGACGCAACAGCATCAGGAGTTGGCGAAGCTCTGCCGCACAGTGCAGGGCCACGAGGATGCAACTCGGGCACTCAATGCCCGATTGTTGGACCTGGAACAGGCTGTACCAGGACCAGCTGCTGGGGCTTCCAGCAGTGCACCCTCTAGCCGCCAACTGGAGGAACGCGTTGACCACGTAGTGGCAATGCTCGACGACATCAGCACTTTCGCTGCGCTGACCACCATCAGCAGTCAGCTGCATACTTTGAAGACCGAGGTCCAGCAGCTGCAATCGACGAACGCGGACGACAATCCGAAGATGTACAAGATGCCAACTTTCCAACTGGACAAGTTCGACGACTACACGCAGCAGGATCCGGTCCTCTGGTGGGAAGCATTCACAACGCAACTCAGGATTCTGCCCGTAGCCAAGCATGCGTACATCGGCGCCTTGTTCCTGAAGGGCGGATGCCAGACGTGGTTGAGCCACCTGGCAACCTCCCACGGCGTCGACGTACCAGACTTGAAGGACAAAATCACATGGGAGGAACTGACACGGCTGTGGAAGAAGCGGTTCATCGTCGACGACGCGCCGACACTCGCCATCAATCGTTTGTTCACCATGTCACAGGGCAACACTGCAACACGAGACTGGCTCACGGAGTGGCAGAAGATTGCGGCAGTGCCCAACCTGGACTTGCCATTCATACATCTCAGACGTGAGTTCTACAATAGATCCTGTGCTGCATTGAGCCAGGCTCTTGGTGATCGCGAGCAGTACTCCACTTTCGCCGAGATTATCGACAAGGCGAGAGAGACCATCAAGACCAACAGGTCAGCTGCACACGAGAAATCAACATGGTAGCCGACCTATGTGGAGAAGGTACGAACTAGTCCGCGACAGCAGCACTTCGCTGCAGTCCAGTCGGACAGTGGAGATAACCCAGCAGCCACTCCAGCATCAAGTGATGGAGATCAGGTGGCTGCTGTCCAACCGCGAAGCAACAACAAGTCCCGCAACAATGGGAAGGCGAAATCCGCATCGCAGGCCGGAAATGGACAGCCAGTACAAGTTCCATGGGTCAAGTTCGGCTTGACCGAGGCGGAGTACAAGGTCTGCGGCCGCAGCACTTCGCTGCAGTCCAGTCGGACGGTGGAGAAGGGTACGAACTGGTCCGCGACAGCAGCACTTCGCTGCAGTCCAGTCGGATAGTGGAGATAACCCAGCAGCCACTCTATCATCAAGTGATGGAGATCAGGTGGCTGCTGTCCAGCCGCGAAGCAACAACAAGTCCCGCAACAATGGGAAGGCGAAATCCGCATCGCAGGCCGGAAATGGACAACTAGTACAAGTTCCATGGGTCAAGTTCGGTTTGACTGAGGCGGAGTACAAGGTCCACGGCCGCTACGACAACTGCTATCGGTGCAACAACACCAAGCACAAGACCTCCCTATGCCAGGATCAGGGCAAGGAGGATGTGCGACCCCGCCTCAGCTCGGGAAACTGAGCTCCGCGGAAGGTGAGGCGACTCCACCTTCTACTCCGCCAGATTCGGCCGCCTTGCTAGCGACCTCCTGCACATCTGGGGAGAACGCGGATGTCGCAAGTTCTCGTTACACTTATGAGGACAATGCTGTCCACTTGGTTCCACCGCTGGACCAACCGCTCCATGTGCAACAATCAACCGCATGCACGGTTTCATCACCATCGGCAACCGATTCGGCAGCTTCACCGCAATCTATCACCGGGGATTCGACGTCATGGTCAAGACTTGAAGAGCTCGACCCATTGACGTTCACGGACTTCCAGCAGATGCCCGTTCCCTCGACCGGACGATTGCCGAAACCGCATTGCAACGTGCTTATGGCACAATTGCGGGATTACTTGCACACTGCAATACCAACTCCGTTGATGGACGCCGGAGTAGAGGTTGTCGACCTTCACGCTTACATCGTGAAGATCGCCCGCGAGTTCAAGACGCAACGGTACGACGACAACGACGCACCATTGCTATACGTACGCATTCAGATCGGAGAAGCGACCTGCAGCGCTTTGATCGATTGCGGTGCCACTCGCAACTACATCAGCCAGGACTTCATGGTGCGCGCCRGCCTTGRCCCACGCGTCCGGAGGAAGTCCCAGCCTACGCAAGTCACGTTGGCGGACGGTCACACGCACAAGTCAATCGACCGGTGCATTGACAACGTCCCAGTGTACTTTGCCCCTCACGCAAGTGAGGCGGTGTCCTTTGACATACTGGACACAAAATTTGACATGATCTTGGGCATGTCATGGCTGCGAAGCAAGGATCACCCAATGAACTTCTTCAATCGCACCGTTCACGTTCGTGATCGGAACGGAGTACTAGTTCCATGCACAGGGCCTCTTCATCATCCTTCGATCAGCTGCCACGTGGTATCTGCCGCAAGCATGCGAGCTTCCATCATCAGAGACGACATCGAGGAGATGGGGGTGTGTTTTCTCCACGCCCTCCCGCCCCGAGATGCTTCATCGACGGACTCATCTTCGGATCCACGCATCAGCGAACTTCTCGACGCCTACAGCGACGTGTTCGAAGGCCCGCACGGAGTAGTACCGGATCGRCCCATCCGCCACGAGATCATCCTCGAGGATGGGGCCGTACCTCCGCGCGGTTGCATCTACCGAATGAGCGAGGAAGAGTTAAGTGTGCTTCGCGCACAACTCAACGACCTTCTAGAGAAAGGCTGGATTCGACCTAGCTCATCGCCATACGGTGCTCCTGTTCTCTTCGCCCGGAAGAAGAACAAGGACCTGCAATTGTGCATCGATTATCGCAAGCTCAACGGGCAGACGAGCAGGAACGCTGACCCTCTCCCACGCATCGACGACCTTCTCGAGCAATTGGGCGGCGCCCAGTTCTTCTCTAAGCTGGATCTCAAGTCAGGGTACCACCAACTCGAGATTCGCAAGGAGGATCGCTACAAGACCGCATTCAAGACACGGTATGGGCATTTCGAATGGCTGGTCATGCCGTTTGGCCTTACGAATGCCCCAGCCACTTTCCAAGCGGCTATGACAACGGAGTTCCGACACATGCTGGATTGGTTTGTACTCATCTACCTCGACGACATCTTGGTGTATAGTCGGAGTTTGGAAGAGCATGTGGAACACCTACGCACCGTTTTGGAGCGGCTACGACAGGCCAAGTACAAAGCAAACCGCGACAAGTGCGAGTTCGCACAACAGGAGATGGAGTACTTGGGCCACTATGTGACGCCGAAAGGCATCCGTGCGCTCGCGGACAAGATCGGAGGCCCTACGAGTGTCGCCCGAGCCCACCAACACCATGGACATTCGTTCATTCATGGGATTGGCGGGCTACTATCAGCGAGTCATCACCGGATATTCCAGGATTGCTGCACCTATGACGAGGTTACAGTCGCCAAAGGTGCCATTCATATTCGATGACGACGCACGCCGGTAATTCCAAGCACTTAAGACAGCGATGCTCATGGCACCCGTCCTTAGCATCTATGACCCTACCTTGCCGACGAGAGTGACTACGGACGCTTCCGGCTTTGGCATTGGGGCAGTCTTGGAACAACACGACGGCGATGACTGGCACCCTGTGGAGTACTTCAGCCACAAAGTGCCTCCCATCAACTCGCTTGATGATGCAAGGAAGGAGTTACTCGCGTTTGTCATGGCTCTCAAGCGATGGCGACACTTCCTCCTTGGGCGTCGTAGGTTCACATGGGTTACGGACAACAATCCATTGACCTACTACAAGACGCAGGATACGGTGAGCAGCACGATCGGACGATGAATGTACTTCATCGACTAGTTTGACTTCACACCGAAACACCTTCCCAGCCTCTCCAATCGCGCAGCAGATGCACTCTCGCGAAGACCTGATCTTTGCGCTATGACTCATCATGCCTTCGCGTTCAATGAGGAGCTTCAGCGACACTTCATCCGGGCATATCATTCTGATCCGGAGTTCACCACGCTATATGCACAGCTATCTTCGGATCACCCGCCGGCCAGCCATTACCGCATTGCCGACAGGTACTTGCTCCTCCACTCGAGAGGCAAGGACTTACTATGTATCCCAAGCGACCGTCGTCTTCGGACTCGCCTCCTCGGCGAGTATCATGATTCACGACTCGCCGACCATTTCGGAGTCAACCGCACTATTGCACGGCTTCGACAGCGATTCCGATGGCCTGACCTCATTACCGATGTCACTCGGTATTGCGACTCGTGCGAAGTTTGCCGACATAGCAAACCCCGCAACCGCAATCCCTATGGCGAGTTACACCCGATGCCTATCCCACGGGAACCCGGTCTCTCCATTGCCATGGACGTCACCGGTCCGTTTCCTCGCGACCGGCTCGGGCACGATGGCATCCTCACAATTGTGGACTGATTAAGTACGCGCGTTTTCTCCCTTGCAAGTACTACTTCACGGCTCCCGAGCTGGCATGCCTCCTGCACACTGGTTGGATTTGTGGCCACGGTGTACCAGAAGACATTGTCAGCGACCGCGACACTCGTTTCATGTCGGCGTTTTGGACTGCTCTCATGCAGGAGTCCGGCACAACAATGAAACCAAGTTCGGCTCGACATCCTCAGACAGATAAGCAGACGGAGCGGGCACATCAAACTGCTCAAATGATGCTTCGTACGCTCATCCTTCCGGACCAGAAAGATTGGGTTGACCGCCTCCCCGACATCGAGTTCGCCTACAACACTTCGGTGCACCCAGCGATCGGCGTGACTCCATTCGAGTTGCACCACGGTGGACGGAAAGGCCGTATCTTCGCCGACCTTCTCCTTCCTCGACCCGCTGACATTGACGCTGCCTGCTCTCCCGCTTCCGTCCGGAAGTACAGGGAATTGCTGACTCAAGCCCGCGCAAATATGCAAAAGGCTCAAGTCCGCATGCAGCAGCAAGCCAACAGGCGTCGCGTACCATGTCCCATCCGCGCCGGGGATCTGGTTTGGGTCTCCGCAGAAGAGTTTGCACTGGAACAGGATGTTTCACRCAAACTGCTTCCCAAGTGGTTTGGACCTTGGTCTGTGACAGCAGCCGCGGGCGATGAGCTCGATGGCCCTTCATTTGTGATCAACATTCCAGAGCATCTGACGGTCCATCCGGTCTACCACGCCTCGAAGCTGGCAACATACACGCCAGCCAAGAGCGACGACTTTCCGGGCCGACGATCGCAGGACCCTTCCTCTATGGATGGTCATCAGGAAGTTGACCGCGTCATCTCTGATCGCAAGTACGGCAGCAAGCCGCGGCAGTACAAAGTCACATTCAAAGCATGCGATCGCGACGACACTCAGTGGATTTCAGGCGCAGATGTGAAAGCATCCGCACCGCTGATCTACGCGCATTATGAAAAGCGGAGGTTAGCTCAGGAAGCTTCACGACCAGCCCCTCCCACCCGGACTGTGGTCCCTCCCTCAGATAGACAGCTTCGCCCTCGCAAATAAGCTCGGTTCTTCAAGGAGGGGGGGGGGTGGCATACTGCGTAGCCACACGGGCCCTTCAGGGCCCGTCCTGGACATTCAGCCTAAAAGCCTAAAACTTAGGGCTCACAGGCCCCGGTCGTTTCAGCCTGAAAGCTGAAAAACGAGGGCCTGCAGGCCCTACTCCGTTTCAGCCTATTTCTGGGTCTTTCAGACCCAGAGT